TAGGCAGTACGACCGAGGCCTTCACAGCGGAGGGGCCGGCGATGTCGCAGCAGGAGAGACCCAACCAGCCTTCTTCCGGGGCGGCGAGCGTGACGGTAGCGGGGTCGGGGCTGGGGCTCGGGGACTACACGGGGAGGGCGCGGGAGGGAGGGACCGGGTGCGAGGCGACGGAGTGGGAGTCGGAGACGGCGGTGCGGTGTCGGGGCGGGGGCGGGGTCGGGCGGACGGGGCGGGTGGCGGCGACGGTCGGGGAGCAGGCCGGGTCAAGGACGGAGGCGTACTCGACGGACGGGCCGGCGGGGTCCGGGGTCGGGGCGGACGGGAACGGGCCGGGGTCCGGGGCGGCGAGCGTGACGGTAGCGGGGTCGGGGCTGGGGCTCGGGGACTACACGGGGAGGGCGCGGGAGGGAGGGACCGGGTGCGAGGCGACGGAGTGGGAGTCGGAGACGGCGGTGCGGTGTCGGGGCGGGGGCGGGGTCGGGCGGACGAGGCGGGTGGCGGCGACGGTCGGGGAGCAGGCCGGGTCAAGGACGGAGGCGTACTCGACGGACGGGCCGGCGGGGTCCGGGGTCGGGGCGGACGGGAACGGGCCGGGGTCCGGGGCGGCGAGCGTGACGGTAGCGGGGTCGGGGCTGGGGCTCGGGGACTACACGGGGAGGGCGCGGGAGGGAGGGACCGGGTGCGAGGCGACGGAGTGGGAGTCGGAGACGGCGGTGCGGTGTCGGGGCGGGGGCGGGGTCGGGGCGACAAAGACAGTGATTGTGTCTATGGAAGCTGACGCTTCGAGTCGCACAAGCGCCGGATCGTATGATGCGGGATCGGGAAGCGGCATGTATCGATCGAACGCAGCTGCAAGCGGCTCGGCGAGTATCTCTGTAGGCGGGGCAGGCTACGGCTTCACGGCCTACTCGCTGCAAGGTCGGTCGGGCTTGAGCGCCTGTGAGGCCTCGACTTGGCTGTCTGATACGGCATTGAGCTGCCTCGAGTCCTCGGGACCCGGCGGCAGCCAGCGGGTATCGGTAACCGTAGACGAAAGAGTCAGCAGCGTCACAGACGCGTACAGCGCAGACAGGACCAGAGTGAGCTCTGTCCTGCGGTCAAACGTGCCGTCGACCGGATCCCTGTCGGTCACATTGGTAGGAGCCGGCGCAGGGCTGGCGGGCTACTCTCCGATAGCAAGAGCGGCGCCCACGGCTAGCGAGGTCACAGCATGGCTGTCGGACACGAGCTTACGGAGTATGGCTGTGGAGAGCGTGGGAGGGTCTAGGACGCTCCTGATCACTGCCAGCCTGCAAGCAGGCTCGGCCACGGCAGCCTTGAGCGTAGATAGAGTCGTGTTGAGCGAGGGGATCCGTACCAACATGGTGCCGACAGGCTCAGCTAGCTTGACAGTGCATGGGTCGGGCCTGGGTGTCGCCGGATACACGGGCTGGGGTCGGACGGGAGGATCAGGGAGCGAGAGCAGCGAGTGGGAGTCGGACACAGCTGTGCGATGTCGAGCGGAGCGGGGCCGGAGAGGCGGGTCCTCACGAGGGGTAGTGTCCGTCGGGGAGAGGCCGGGTACGGTGACGGAGGCACTCTCGTATGATCAGGCGAGCGTGAGCATCCTTAACATAAACCGAC